TTCCATGGGGTAAAGGACTAAGTTACACGGTTTGTGTTCTTTTATTGAACCGTCTTACTGATTGTCTTCTCTAGCTAGATGAGCTTTCCTCCCCTAGGTCTGATCTTTGCTCTGTCTTGCCCTTTTCACCTCTTTATCATTTCTTATTATTTCATTGGAGGCATGCTTACCCTCTGTCTCAGGCTGGGTTCTCTAGAAAAGCAAAACCAGTAAAGCATGTAAATATATAGAGATATTTATATCAAAGAAACGGCTCATGTGATTGTAGAGGCCAGAACATCCCAAGTCCATGGATTAGGATAAAGGCTTCTCCTAATTCATGTAGCCACAGGGGCTGGCGAACCCAAGATCGGCAGGTGGGAAAGCAAGGCTCTTGCTCACTGGCTAATGAATCCCAAGGTTGGCAGGCAAGAACGAAGGCTTCTCCTGATTCACATAGCTTCAGGGGCTGGGGAAACCAAGATCTGCAGGTCAGAGAGCAGGGCTCCACTCACAGGCTTGAAGATCGATGAATCCCAAGATAGGTAGATAAGCTGACAGCTCAAGACCCAAGAACCAAAGGTCAGACAAACAGGAGGCTGATGCAGCATCCAGAGTGAGCAAAAAGCCAGAACGTCTGCTTATATTCGAATGCAGGCTGTAACATGGGTCGAGGGCTGTAACACTGAAGACAGCGACAGGCCTGGAAGGGGCCCAGCAGCAGAGCCAACTGTGACAGATGGCAAGGCCAAGAGGAGCATGTCCTGAGGGGACTGAGAGATCTGTCCTCATGGAGCCCATAGGAGCCTGTCCTCAGGGGCCTGAGAGGAGGCCTGCATGGCGGAGAGGAGCTGAGATAGCTGTCCAGCACTGAAGAAGGGAAACTTTGCCTGCATGCTTCCTGTGTGAGGAACTTTTAAATTTTGAGTTGCCAGTAGGTATAGTTGGGGAGATTTCAGAACTGAAATTAAGCGCTACATTTAGAAATTAAACTGATTCCTGGTAAACATTAGGCTTCTGTTCAAGTCGTTGCTGAAAAAACAAAGCTCAGTCGTGCTTGTTATGTGAAGAGTGTTCCCACAGCTGGCCTTAGAGAAAGCTTCATTGAGTTGTTAAAGTAGAGCCTATAGATAAACTTGTTGTTTTAACTACCTTAATGAAGTTCCCCAGCAAGAGCCTAGGTATTATCTCTTTTCTCTCAGCTAAATAAGCAGAGTTTATTTACACTTTCCTACGGTCAGTGCTGTATCCAAAGATTTCAATTAATTTGGCCCAGCTGTAAATATATCACTAAACTATCATGTAGAAATTGTTTATACTTTTCATTTTAGAAATATTGCCTTAGTTAAACTGTATCAAGTATGAGAGATTTGTGTTAGACTAGAAACTGATGTAAAGAAAGATCACAGTTAATTGCCACCCTTGTAAATCTCACTTCCTTTCCTGCCATTCCTTTGATGTGACATTGTTGTCGGTACTCACTCTACTTATTAAATATCTCTTTGTTTTGCCTGTACGGCACAGCATACCCTTACAGCTAAACTGACCAAATGTTCTCTCATGGTTCATTCCTTCAATAAATTTTGTTTAAATATCAAATTAGAGTCTTGGTCCAGTGACTTCACGAGGACATGCCTGATCCTGATCCTCAGCTGTACCCTATTCCTTGATAAACCACCTAACTGTAAGTATGGTCTGTGAGTTCTGTATGGTCATCGCAATGGATTATTGAGCCCAGAAGAGAAGTCGAGAATGTCACGGGAGGGACAGCTGGCGTCAGAATTGGTAAAAGGTTGGAGAGTGGAGGTATGTTTGACCTCTACCTCATAGGGATCAGCCTTGGGCTGATCTTGATTTGCATTACTCCCACCCCGAAGTTAGACAAGTTTTGACACTACTATTACTACTGTCACCATTTCACATCAAATATGCTGGGTAAATGTATATGTACTGTGATCCTACGGAAGAGGTCCTTGGGTGTCACAAGTGTTTGCACTCGTCTGTTACCCACTTAGTGGCACCACAGAAGAAAGCCCTGGTGATCTCTTCTTATAAAGATTACAGCACAGAAAACCCTATGAAGCTCAGTTCTACTCTTTAACACATGGGGTCGCCATGAGTCAGAATCAGCTCACCAGCAACCTGTTTGGTTTGCTTTTTTGGTCTTTTGGAAGGTCACAAATCATTGTAATACCTAGGAAATTTTTTACCCCCAAAAAACTAATTCTGCTTCTACCCTCCATGCCTCTGAGTAATTCTGACCTTATTTACTATTTGGTCAGTTGTACTAGTGGTTCTCAAACTTTACTGTGCAAATGAATCACCTCTGGATCTTGTTAAAATGCAGATTCCAATTCAGGGGGTCTAGGGTGGGGCCCCAGAATCTGCATTTCTAATAAGCTCCCAGGGGATACTCATGCTGCTGGTCTATGGACCACACTGTGATAGGGAGGCATAGGAGTGTGGTTAGCATCATTACCTCTCATTATTTTATTAATGGAGGAGGCATTTTCCTAATGGTGCTGGGATACAGGGTACACAAAAGTTTTGAGTGTATAAGCTGACGTCTATCCCTGACACCAGTTAGTAGCAGGCAAGGTGAAGGAACCCCTTCCCGCCCCGTTGTCTCTCACAGGCCTGTGATTTATCAGTGTAAAGATGACGCATTTTGAGGAGACGGGCCCTTGGCTACAGCTGGAATAAATTAATATTCTCTTACATATTTTTCTTTCTTTCTTTTTCTTATTGCCCTTCTCTAAGATATTCATAAGGGTAACAGCCTGGTACTAAAAGCTAGGACAATGGGGTTCCATGGGGCAGTTTTCACCTTCCTTCCAGAAAATCAAAAGTGTTGATGGGAGGAGGTGACATCTGAAATACAAATAGACAACAGCGGCTTAGGAATTGGAAGGAGCAGGAGACTTGAGGCATTAGGTTCATTCATTAGGCAAAACTTTGCTTCATCCTGTATGTGAGGGTTGAGGAAAGACAGGAGTCACTGGAGACTCCAAGGTTACTGTCTTAGGCTGGGTTCTCTAGAGAAGCAAAACCAGTAAAGTATATATACATATATATATATATACATGTACACAGACACTCCATACACAATCTCTAAATAAAGACAATTATAAGTCATTTTTGCACCTAACATGATACAACATGCATGCAACCAAAAACATAGTAGCCCTGTTTACATCTTATGTTTTGTAAGTGAAGAAAAAAAATTTGATGCACACATAAAAGGAAGAAATTCTTATAACAATCACAGTCCTCGTTTCTGCAACTGGTCACATGGTCATGAATGGTATTTAGAACTATCTTCTTCCACCACCCATTCCGTATTTCCTTTTCCCTCAGTAAGCACCTCAGCTGGTTGAGGTTTTTTGCCTGGCGGGGTGACCCAAACCTTCATTTCTGAAGGGTCTGGGCCCTTAGTAGTCATGTCAAAATTGGGTTGCTATAGTTTTCCATTGACTTTTATCACTGGGCATGGTAGTACTAAGAGACACCCTAAGGGATCTCCTGCATTCCACACATACTCTTCTTTGCCTCCACTATGTAATATCAATCCTATTTCCTCTTGGTAATCAGAATCAGTCACAACAGCCAATATGGTAACTCTCTTCTTTGCCTGTTGATCCAGAGGCATAAGGAGCCCAAAGTGGTCAGGTGGCATTCTTAACTTCCAGTTCAATGGAATCAATGATGTGTCTCCAGCTGGGAGCATCCCTCCCTTTGGATACACAGAGTATAGGGCCTTGGGGACAGGAAGCAAAAATTTTTCAAATGAGTCACTAGGGGTAATAGCGAGTGGTGCCACTCCCATTTCTACCGCTTGATTCCTGGACCCATGAATCCTGGCTATGGAAGAAACAGCACCATATATTGGAGGCTGCTTTAGAGCACACGTAGCCTCCTGAAGAACATTCCCCCAACCCTCCAAAATATTGCCATCTAGTTGGTGCCGTAATTGTGTCTTTAGAAGGCCATTCTGTCATTCTATCAAGTCAACTGTTTCAGGATGATGGGGAACATGGTAAGACCAGTGAATTCCATGAGCATGGGCCCATTGCTGCACTTCATTTACTGTGAAGTGAATCCCTTGATCTGAGGCAATGCTGTGTAGTATACCATGATGGTGAATAAGGCATTCTGTAAGTCCATGGATGATAGTTCTGCCAAAAGCATTGCCTGCAGGGAACGCAATTCCGTATCCTTCCACTGACCTTCCCATGATGGAAGTGGTTCAATGTAATCAACCTGCCACTACGTTGCTGTCTGATCATCTCGAGCAATGGTGCCATATCAGGGACTCAGTGTTGGTCTCTGCTGCTGGCAGATTAAACATTCAGCAGTGGCTGCAGCCAAGTCTGTCTTGGTGAGTGGAAGCCCATGTTGCTGAGCCCATGCATAACCTCCATCTCTGCCACCATGGCGACTTTGTTCATGAGCCCATTGGGCAATGTTGGGAGTGACTGGGGGAAGAGGATGAGTGGTTTCCACAGAATGTGTCATCCTATCCACTTAATTGTTAAAATCCTCCTCTGCCAAGATCACCCTTTGATGAGCATTCACATGAGACACAAATATCTCCATTTCTTTGGCCCATTCAGAGAAGTCTATCCACATACCTCTTCCCCATACCTCCTTGTCTCCAATTTTCCAATCATGTTCCTTCCACATCCCTGACCATCCAGCCAAACCAATGGCCACAACCCACAACTCAATAGACAATCGCACATCTGGCCATTTCTCCTTCCAAGCAAAGTGAACAACCAGGTGCACTGCTCGAAGTTCTGTCAGTTGGGAGGATTTCCCTTCACCACTGTCCTTCAGGGAGGTCCCCACAAGAGACTACAGTACTACTGCTGTCCACTTTCAAGTGGTGCCTGCACATCATGCAGAATCATTTGTAAACCAGCATGATTTTTCTCTTCCTCAGTCAACTGATCATAAGAAACTCCCCATGAGGCTACAGCTGCACTCTGGGAGAGGGCAGAAAATGTGACAGGAGTGGAGACCATGGGCATTTGGGCCACTTCTTCATGCAATTTGTGCTTTCAGGTCCTGCTCAGGCGCAATCTTGTATATACCACTTCCATTTAATGATGGAGTGCTGCTATGCATGTCCAACTTTATGACTCTGTGGGTCAGGCAACACCGAGTTCATGGTGGGCAGCTCAGGCTGCATGGTGACTTGGTGGCCCATGATTAAGCATTCAGTCTCTACTAAAGCCCAGTAACAAGCCAAAAGTTGTTTCTCAAAAGGAGAATAGTTATCTGCAGAGGATGGCAGAACTTTGCTCCAAAATCCTAAGGGTCTGTGCTGTGATTCACCAATAGGGGTCTGCCAAAGACTCCAAACAGCATTTCTACCTGCCACTGCCACTTCGAGCACCATTGGATCAGCTGGATTATATGGCCCAATGGCAGAGTGGCTTGCACAGCAGCCTGAACCTGTTGCAGAGCCTTCTCTTGTTCTGTGCCCCACGCAAACCCAGTAGCTTTTTGAGTCACTTAATAAATAGGCCCAAGCAGCACATGCAAATGAGGGATAAGTTGCCTCCAAAAGCCAAAGAGGCCCACCAGGTGTTGTGCCTCCTTTTTAGTTGTAGGAGGGGTCAGATGCTATAACTTATCCTTCATTTTAGAATTAATATCTCCACATGTCCCACACCACTGGACCCCTAGAAATCTCACTGAGGTGGAAGGTACCTGAATTTTTGTCAAATTAATTTCCCACTCTCTAGCATACAAATCTTTTACCAGTAAGTCCAGTCATTGACACTTCTTCTTTATTAGGTCCAATAAGCATAATGTCAACAATATAATGAGCCAGTGTTATGTCCTGTGGAAGGGAAAGGAAATCAAGTTCCCTGAAGACTGAATTATTATTATTATTTATATATATATTTTATTGTACTTCAGGTTCAGGCTTACAGAACAAATAGTTTCTGATGAAACAGTAGTACACAT